AGAATTTTGGCGACCTCTTCGCACTATGCGCCTCAGCATCCGCTGACCTTGCTCCGTCCATTTACATGGCTTACCACTTTGTGGCTGAGTTGCTGTCATTCCCAATCACTTCCATGTTCTTATAATACAGCTGACACTGGACTGTGGAATATTTAGGAGCGAGGAAATTTCATGACTGAAATTGCTGCACAGGTGGCATTCTATCACAGTTCCACACTGGAATTCACTGAGCTCCTGAGAGCGACCCATTTCACAAATGTTTGTGAAAACTGTCTGCACGCTTAGGTGCTAGATTTTTGCACCTGTGGCCATGGAAGTGATTGGAACACCTGATTCTGATTATTTGGATGGGCGAGCGAATACGTTTGGCAATATAGTGTATGTCAGTCAGCAATATGTTTCTTTTTTGAGCAATGGGATGTGGAATTTTAGAGTACAACTTTAAGTGGTTTAGAGTTAAACGTTCTATTCCTATATCATTGGAATAGAGCAGTTGTGAATTAAGCTTCACAATTATCTCCAAGCCAAATATATATGAACTTTATACCTGATTTTTATCTTCATATATATGAGAGATACAGGGGGGCAAACACAAGAAAAATGATAATGAATAAACATGTTCTAATTGTATAGATTTTTTTTTTCAAAATCCCACTGAACAACTTTTATACAGATACAACATCCAGAGAATATAATTTTATGAAAACACTTTAAAAAACACAGTAATAAAAAAGAAACATAAGATTCAATACAACTTTATACTTCCTAGTATCCATAATAAAAATATGCTGAAAGGAATCATACAGTGAAAAGAAAGAATTATATGGAAGAGGTGGAAGTCAGTGTACATCAATCCTGGTATTTATAGGTATTCACACCAAGATCATATTCAGAATCTTCCCCTTTAAATAATTGAATATTTAAATATCTTATATTTAATATCTTTTATTGAGATACAACAGTAACACTAGCTAATGAATTAAGCACCAAGTGATAGTTTGGGATAGGTTTGGCCCAGAATGATCACTTTGCTGTAAAGCCTTCTTAGGGCTTTGTGAACATCTTTGTTTCTTAAAGAGTAAATTAGGGGATTCACCAAAGGTGTCATCACTGTATAAAAAATGGAGAAGATTTTATTGAGAGGTCTCAGAGTGGGGGAGTCTGGCAACACATAGACAATGATTAATGTGCCATAATAGAGGCAAACTACCATGAGATGAGAAGAGCAGGTTGAAAAGGCTTTTTGCCTTCCAGTGTTGGATTTCATTTTTATGATGGTGCCAATAATGCAGATGTAAGAGATAAGAGTCAATAGAAAAGGGGCAATTGTAAAAATAACAGTCATGAAGAAGGCAATGGGTTCAAGAATATTTAAATTGCTGCAGGACAATTTCTCCAGTGGAAGGAAATCACAAAAATAATGGTCTATGACATTGGAGCCACAAAAGGGCAATGGATCCATGAGAACCACAAGAATGCTATTGAATATCAAACTATTTATCCATATTCCAGCTATAATCTGGGAACAAAATTTTGTATTCATAATAGAATTGTAGAGCAAAGGTCTACAAATTGCCACAAAGCGGTCATAAGACATTGCAGATAAAAGATAGGTCTCTATGGCTGCACAAATCCCAAATAAATGGCATTGGGCTAAGCATCCACGTAGAGTTATAGTTCTATCACCAGACAACAAATTGGTCAACAATTTGGGCAAGATGGTAGAGCTATAACAAGCATCCAGCCAAGACAAATTTGCCAAGAAAAAATACATTGGGGTGTGAAGATGCTGATTTGCCACAACTAGCAGAAAGATGAGAAGGTTTCCAGTTATTGTCATCAGATAAATCACCAAAAAGAACCCAAAAAGAAGAATCTGAAGCTCCGGAAAAGTCTCCAAACCCAGAAGAATGAATTCTTGAATAGCTGTCTGATTTTCTTTTTCTGTATCTAGCATTTCCTTAATTCATGAAATGTGTCATCAGATCTAGAATATATTTTTAAAAAGACATGTTTAAATCCAAAATACTGAAAACTTTCTTCTTCTTTCTCTGTCTCTGTATGTATCTGTGTAATAAAGACTAATTTCAGGAATTGTGGATTACAAGTATTCCATTCACATACTATATCTAGGAGAATAATTTTAATTGGGAGGAATATATGACTAAAAGATAAGTGTTATTAGTCAGTTTTTCACAATTTTGTTTTCTCCATTTCTATTTTCTATATTTGAAACCATGATTTTTAATGATTATGATAAGCAAAATCTAAATTTTGGAGGAAATTCAAAAATCCTCAAAAGCTGATCAGAGGCTAATGCTGGAGCATGAGCAAGCTGGCTGATTGGCTAGCCAAAGGATCTTTATTTTCTGTTTCCACTACTTTCTTCACATCAAGAAAGATAGTAAAAAAAAATTGTTGACCTTTATAAATAAGGCCTTTCTATCTGCTCCTTGCTTCCTCTACATTGAGAGAATGTGAAAGCCAAGAGTTTTCAATATTGTATGGAATAGTCCAACTTTGGAAATATAAGCTCTTTGCTGATTATTCCTGCATAAAGGAAAATAGTTTCCCTTTAGTCCTTCAGTAATCACCTTGTTTTGCAAATGTTTTTCTTTTACCAATTATATAATATTCCAGGGTTCACTGTGACTCAGAAAAATAGAGATATACTTTCTCAAGTATCTAAAAGGTTATCTTTCATTTTTTTTAAAAAAAACTTATCTTTTAGTTTTCTAGAATGTATAAAGCAGGAAATACTTACTCTGTATCCAAAATTCTTTGGAGGGACGATGATGATAAAAAAATAGAGAGTTGAAAAAATAACAATGGCTGGACCCACACTAAAATCATGATTCTCAGCTATAATCATTATGCTCTTAAAGCAATAAAGCCATATTATAGTTTAGCACAATTTGGGAACCCTTCCAATGTATTTATGCAAAATTAAATCATGAAAGAAGACATTCCCCTCCCAAAGTATACAATAATACTGAAGTTGGAGGGAAACATACCTGTAACAAGTAACTGGCATAGTAACAGATAATCCAGAATAGAATGCTTCAATTTCTTCAAATTATTGGTAAAAGTCCATGCTGGGCAAATTCAAACATCTCCTGCTATGAGACAGAAATGTTTCTTAAATGCTTTTAATTAACATTTAAAGTAATTTATCCTGGGAGATTTGCTCATAATTTGCTGTTTTTTGAATCAAATTAATAGTGAATCCCAAAGGAGATCTAACATTAACAACTTTCTCTTTTTGTTGTGTTTAGAAATTTGTAATTTGTTTATCCATTTCAATATTTCTCAAAAAAATCATCTTTAGTTCTGATGAAAATTCATACACAGGTTTATTTTTTTTAAAAAGTCATATATTTTCTTTAATGATTGGAGGCTGGATATGGACTGCTTGTTCCAGAGCAGCCAGAAGTAGATGAAAACCATCGAGATGAGCACCTAGAACACATTCACCTTTTTAAAAAAAATTGTCATGAGGATTGTCTGGTTCTAGCAGCATCTTGATTTTTCAAGTTCTTTTGCAGATCCCACTGGTTGTGGAATAGAACTATAGACCTTCTATTTATGTAAATGAGCAGCCCTACTTATTAGACAAAAAAAATCATTCTACCAAGCTATGGCTTTTTAAGAGGGCATACTTGTAAAGAAGTCATCTATTCCATTCTGAAATCTCAATCAATAAAATTAAATAAATGAGGGGAGAGGAAGCTGACGTCGCAACAACACGACATGCGATTTTGGAGCTCCGAGATCGCAGTCGATACTTTTGCCACTGGATGGTCCTTTTGGACCTAAACCATCTTGAAGAGATTGTGATAGGGAAGAGTATGTCCTGCTGATCTCAGGGACACTGCAAAGTCCCTAATTGATCCAGGAGAATCTCTTTTTGCCAGCGACAAAAGCGCAGCCATTGAAGCTGCTGAAGTTGGGACAGCTCCGGAATGGGAGGAAAATGGAAAGAAAAAGTGTATCCATCTGGTGAGGAAATCCTTTTGCTATAAAAGAGTCAACTCCCCAAAAATGACAGCTAAATGAAATTTGAAAACAGAAGAGAATAAGCAGCAAAATTTAGCCATATTAGACAGTTTGTTATCCATTTTTTTCTCTTTACAGATGGAACTTCTGCAAATGTTTCCTATTCCTTAAATTGAACAGATTAGTTTTTTCTACTTTCTATATTTTTTCTTCTACCTATGGATTAAAATCTTTCTTTATTTTTATAATGCTGGATTGGATGGTCTTTTTTATTTATTTATTTATTTATTTTTGCTCCACTTAGAATTTTTGTTTTCTTTAAACCCAGAATATAAAGAAGATATAAAAGGAATACAAAAGGGCTGTAATAACAGAGGGAAAGGAAGTAACACTGCCACTTGGAAGCTGGAGGCTTGAGTCTTGGAAATATTGTCTTTTCTTTTTTCTCTTTGATCATTTGCCTTTGTATTTCAAGGTTCTTCAGCTTGTTTATAAAGAGTGATAGTGAGAAGAGTATGGGTTGTTTATACAGGTGCTCTTCGGGAATATCATTGGCAGCTGGAGTGGAATGAAAACAAAGCCTT